AACACATTACAACTGTGACTAGAGGCGCATCTGAAAAAGACAAGGCCTTGAGATTAAAGTCACAATCACCAGACTTGCATACTTCTCTCAGAGATGAATGAAATTTGATGTCATAGTGTAACTGATGCCACCATGTTCATTAATTCTAAATATGTATGTGGATGGGTGATCACAGTACCTGGACCCAATCCTTTCCCAAAACGTTCCTGTTTTAGGGATCATAGATAAGTCAAGCTTAATGCTATCAGCTGTACACCCTTGTTACATTCCCCTCATCCTTTTCGGATCAATACTAGCTAAGTAGTTGTATGTGTTATAACCTTACGTCAGTTAACAGTTTAACTCATTGTGTACTCACATTGTTACTTGGCTTTGTATATTTCTTCTGATAAATGGCCTTGGAGCCAACTCAATGGGGAGCCCTCCTGTCTCTCAGCAGCTATTCCTTTTCCCCCAAAACACCTTTCCCACTCTTAAATTCCTTTGTTGTTTGGAATTCATTCTTCAATTTCAGGGGACATGAACTCTGCACATCTGATGTCTCACAGGTTGGAAGTTACACTTCTCCTATATCAGTACAATAGCAATGTCATAATAATATAGTCATCATCTACCTAATTTGCTTTACCTTGGAGTATTTAATTTTTAATACTAAAATCTAAATGTTTCATTTGTTTTCTATCTGGATTAATAGTTTTTGAGAGTTGGCTTGAGATGCCTTAGTTATGCAGAATCTAAGATTCACATGGATTGTAACTGATCAGAAGTCTAATGCACTGACCAACAAATTCCTCCGCAGAGGAAGAGATGAAAATATTTGACTCTGTTCTGTTTCAATATATGCAAGTAGCCATAAAATACGTAAATTTTTATGTTAAAAAAGGGTTTATGGGTTTAACATTTGAATGTCATATGATTTCATGTGTCAGGAAATACTCTTCTCATTTTTTTCAATCATTTAAAAATATGAAGCTATTTATAATTCATGAGCCATACAAACAATGGTGGTAGACTGGATTTCACCCAAAGGAAGCATCTTTTAAGCCAAAACCCTGTTGGATTTCGTGTGATGTTGTGAATATGTTCATGAAAATTATGGGAGTTTTTTATCACACAGAAACAGATTACAAAAACCATATTTTTAGAATACGTATCTCTGAGTTATGTTTTGGCTTCTCTTTTGCCCTACATATTTTTTATTGCCTTTCTTAGTTAAGTTGAGTTGTACTCTTTTTAGGAAAGGTAAATGGTGTATTCTAGCACATGGAATATCCTTCACATTTTAATTTTCACTCTAGAAGCTATTTTTGTTGTTGTTGTTACTGGCTCAAGCCCTCTTGGGTATTTAACATTTCACTTTCAATTGTATTTCACATTTAGTAGTTCTCAGGCAGGCAATATTCTAACTGCCCATATGGGTTGAAAACTGTTCAATGTCACATAGCAATTAAGCATTTTATTTAAGGAAAGTGAAAACTTTTCCAACATTGTGTACAATTAGTGTATACCACATAGGTTTCCTTAACTCTGCTTGTGCTATGAGGTCTACTAATAAAAACAAGTTGGGTGGGTTGATTTATTGACTTGTTTTCCTAAATGTTTGAAGCATCACTGAGAACCTATTCATCGTCCTTATTTTCTAATGCTAATCCCCTGATTTTTCTCAGGCGTTGTAGATGTTTCAAACATCTAGAACTTTTTAAACTGTCATATGAATATGGTGGAATGTGTTTATTTTCTGTACTCTTTATTGTCTGTGTTAAGCATGGCACTACAAGGACACCCTGTCTCATAAGGAAGAGAACTGGGATGAAAATAGGTCTTTAGAAGGGCTGGCCAAATAGCTCAGTGGATTAAAGCATCTGCAAGTCAGCAAAGGGGTCGAGGGTTCCATCCCCAGGCCTGCCATGCCAGCCCCCACCCCTAGGGTGCGCTGAGCCTGCAATTGACACTGGATATGGTGGTGCATGCCTGTATTCCAAGCCTTGGGAGGCTGTAAACAGGTGGCACACTATGAGTCTGATTTACTAGTGAGACCGTGAACACCCTGTAGACCCTTCCCTAAAAGTACAAAAAGTTAAAAAAAAAAAAAAAAGAAAATGGATTTTTAATGTTTCCCTAATAGTCACCTAACTTCACTTTCATGAAGATAATAGAAACTATCAACATTTCCAATGTGGGCAATTGTTTCCTATTCAGCTGCTACTATTGTCAGCAACACTCCAACTACATGCCAAACCTAGAACTTCTTCAGTCCGTCTGCATCCAAATTTCTGACAATTTTTATCCTAAGAAAATACAAAGGGGAGTCTGTAGGGAGATGTTCCTGGCAGAATTACTTTGGCATCCTGGTCTTTGCCCTTTGAAAGTTGTATTTCCTCCTTAAACCTTTCACAAGGTTTACTTCTGTGAATCTCCCATTTGCTCATCATTCTTGGGAAGCCCCAGCCACATGGTGAAGACGTCAACCACTAAATAATCATTTTTACAGAAACAGAATACCTAGTGAATGCCCTTCTATAGTCTTTAGTTCTGCTCCTTAACTAACACAAACATGTAAGCTGCTATGAAATTTCACATGCAGAAAACTAATAGGTCTGATTAAACCAAAATATAGGAGCGAGGTGGAGGCCCATTGTGATGTTACAGAGAATAAAGCAGAAGGCACCTCCCTGGATGACATAGAGCGTGCTCAACCCAAACCTTCCCTTTCTGCTCCTCTATTCCCTCCTTATTAAAGAAACCATTGAACCCCCAAATGCCCCAACGTGGATGGATGTCCTGGAAAAATGGCACCTTCATTTCCTTCAGGACCCACTCTTGAGCAAGCTTGATTCTTTCCTACCAGTTCTGGTCACCTATATTTTAGCCTATGAGTACCAAGCAGTGTCGATCTTATTTAGGTAATGAGAAGAGCAAGTGGAATATCACTAGTACTTATTAGGAGCAAGGACACATTTTCAGACTCAAAGCCCCCTTACTTTCTTATTCTCTTTGCTACATTTCTTCCTTTTCCCATTTCTTTCTAAACTTTCTCTGTTCCATTCCTAAATTTAATCTGAGAAACTATAAAAATATTGTTGACTTTTTGAAACTCCATCTGGGATGATTTTTCTAAAGACCCTGCTAGAGGAGAATCAACTTCCTTTACTTACCTAAATGTAGCCAACCTAGGATTTATTAAAAGGAACTTTGCTATTTATTTTACTGTAATATAAACACTTTATAATACATGTATATTGAAAAATAAAATAAACTGTCCTAGTGTACCTGGGGGTTTTGAATCCAGGAGCATGGGAGTCATCATTTTATGGCCAAACTAGTTAGGGGTCACACTCCGACACCCTTTATGATTTTAAACTACTAAAATTCTGCTTGGTGTTGTATGTTTGCTTTGTCTCTTAATGTAAAGCTTATCTAAATTTAAAATTACAACAACAAAGTTGTGGGAGTGAAACTTATGCAACATTATGAGATCGTTCTATGTCATAATTATTAGCAATTTTTAAATGTAAATAAGCACAATTTTGATTATTACTTAGTACTTGTCAAAATGTTAAAATTTTGTTAAAGTACTGATTAACTACAGTGACAGGAAGAGTTAGGATTTTTTTTCCCTCAAATGAAATCTGCTTCTAGTTCACTTCAATGAGTGAGGTAGATAAGAATGTTTAATTCTCAGGAATAATAATTACTAAAAATTATCATAAATTGAATAATATAATGATACCTTGAATAACAAATCATCTGGTAACAATGGAACCCTCCTATAGTCATTCAGAATGCAAAAGAGTTCTAAAATTTTTCTTTATCAGTTGTTTGGCTGATAACAACGTGGCACTCACAGGCATTCTCCCAGGTAGAGAGGTCCTTTAGCAATGGATCTTAGTGTTCTGCGCTGTGCTTTGTTGCTTTCTCCTCTGATAATTATACTTCAGAAAGTGATACAAAAGTGATGCATTGTCTTTGTTTACAGAGCCATTATTATAAAAGAAATCCGTGTTTGTGCGTGTGTGTGTGTGTGTGTGTGTACTTGCATTCCTAGAACTTACATACAAGACATGCTCTAGTCACTAACCTCCGTTCACGGGTATTATATCCAGAAAAAGTAGATGATGACATGGACCAGAGTGCTGAGTTTTATAAGGTTCAGAAAAGACGGTTGGAAAAAATCTTGACTTTAGTTAATTTATCTCAATAAGAGCCCACCAGAACTCCAAAAAAAAAAAAAAAAGAAAGAAAGAAAAATCTGACTGATTTTTCTTAATTATTCTTAATGATCTTTTTGTCATATCTTATTCCTCAACCTGATGATGGTAGTTAAAAATGACTTAAATAAACATTATAAAATAAAATGATTATACATAGTACATACATATTAAGTGTATACATAGGAGAGAGATGGAGGGAGAGAAAGGAGGGAAAATGGTGTATATGCAGATATATTTATATATATACATATATACATATATAGAAACATTTCGTTCTGACAAATATATATTCACATATGACATATGTATAGCAATAATGTTACTTTTCATTTATAATATATTTCTAAATTTGTGGAACCTCAATCTTACTACTTTATATAGGTTCTATATCCACAAAATATTATCCATTTTTCAGAAGTTATATACAATTTAAAAACTTAAGTTATATGCCTACAGTGCCACAACTCATAATTTCAAAATTTATCTGTTACTATTGTCTGATTTTTCATACCCAAAGTCTTACAACACCACACAGAGAAACATACATATACACATATATGTACATAAATTACACATGGGAACAGAAACAATTTTAGTTATGCCCTTTAATGTTCTATGTTATTTCTTTTGTGAGAACTTGAGGTAACCTTGGCCAATCTAAATATTACCTCTGGGGCTACATACTTTAGGTTAAATTTTCATAACCTATTTACCATCATTTACATTTTAGAATTGAGGCTTATTTACAGAATAAGAAAAATAGATTCTCATACTGTGAGAAACAATCACCTTAATAACAGATGTCTCAACTCTGGAAGGAGGAGTCTGAACTTGTGCTGCCGCCGCCATGTTGGCAATGGTGCTGAGGTGGTTCATCTGGCTCATTGCCATGGTGACAGATGCTGGAGGTAGGCTGACAGGAATTAGAGGGTGGGGCATCATCATAAAAGGAAGTTCCAATCCTATAAAAAATACACAGAAAGCATCATTATTCTGTGCCAAGTGAAACCACAAAATATGGTGTATCTCATTTATTAAATTTATGGACATAATCATTAAAAATTTAAACAATAAAAATACTTAAATAATGGCAATCCAAAAGTATTCTTCCTCTTTGTAAGTAATAACACCCACTCACCACTAAGGGAAATTAAACCTAGAGCTAACTAGCAGGGCGCATGGTTTATCACACCCCCACTCTGCGTGTTTTTAAACCATATGATCAATTCTTCACTAGATCATTCTTCTACTTAGTCTAAATTCTGGTTTAAAACACTAGAGTTTTATTTAACTTATCATGATTAGTTGTCTCAATGTAGTACATCCACGTATTAGGTTCTATTTTACTGTGTGACAATAAAAAATTAAGTTTTGAATACTATCATTTTTAGTGCTAAAAAAATGCCATCGTACCATTTGGCAGCAGGTGCCTGTGCCGGAGATGGTTGAGAGGATGACTAACAGGAAGGCTATGCGCTCCGGGCATGCGGGGGTGGGCAACAGTGGCCTGAGGCCCCTGAGCTGGGGCAGAGGGCAGTGTTTCCTTATCCCAGGAACCATCACTGCTGCCTGTGGGAATGAATATAAATTACTTGGATACAGTATTATCCCAAATTTTCCAATGACTACCTTGAAATGAGGTTTGAAAAAGTAGATCACATTTGGATATTGACAAACAGATTTCTAGGGAAGTGAGATGAAGGAGGCAAATTTCCCCTCAACTGCATTTTCTTTCTGTTTACTTCTTCAACAAGAACTAGAGAGTTTGACAAAGAATATTCTGTAACATTTAACCGACTTGTGGAGTCCACTTATGTTTGACTCCCAGCTTAACGTTAGATGGGCTCTGTTACATAAGCAGATAATGACTTCGTGGAACTAAAATACACTGATGGTTATAAAATGCAAAGTTACCCTTGTGGCTAGTGCTATGCTACTCACAGCTTCAAGTGATTAACCTAATTCTACCACAAATGTTAAAAGTAGAATCATTAATTGCCTAATTTGGCCAGACACTGTACAAAGAACAAAAAAGATCACTTTATGAAATATAATGTCAAAGCAAAATATGTAATGTGTATAAATTAATGTATGCATTTCCATATAAAGAGAAACAGATTTATTATTATGACAAAATCACTGCCAAATTCAAAACCATCCATTTGTAGGCTTATATGTCTCTCTCTATATTTTTTAATATTGGTGGCAATGTCTTGGAATTTACTAGGTCTTCAAAGACTTTAGTAAGATACTTCTGAGAAACTGTTTAGAGACTATTGCAATTTAAATATGTCCTCAAATTAAGTTAAACCAACATTAAATTATTCTGTGACAATCTGTTTAATCTACAAATTATTCTCTTAAACAGTTCTATAATACTTGTGTTAGTTTCTACTTTCCTTTTTTTTGTAAGAATGAGAAGGGAAATGAGGGGGAAGAGGAGAAGAAGAAGGAGAAGGAAAAAGAAGAAACCATATTTTTATAGAACTTCCATGGAAATAGCAAAGTTGGTAAAACTCCAATTTAATGCTTTAGCTCCACTAAAAGCCTCATTGTAAAATGCTTGCAACATAGTTTTTAATGAAGAATACTTAGGTACTGCCATGATTTCTTCCCATTTACTTCATGAAGACAGTTAAGGCTCAATATAAATTCAAACTCATTAGCTCAATACTGTCTGGATCTTAGAGTAAATTGTTCAGAAGTGGGTAATGAAAACTCAATTCAAATTCTTCAGCAATCAAACAAAGCAATTTTATTAAACAATGAAAAAATCAATTAAAGTGGATATCTTTATTATCTTTATTATTTTATAAGAAACCATGATGGCTTTTAGGTAAAAAAAAGTTTATAGCTTCATACAGAAGTGACTACATAAAAGAAATTTCTCTAGTCTGCTCCTATACTGTGATAATAATTTACTAATTTTATAAACTTCACTTCTCTACTCATAATTTTTGTAACTACTATAGCAAATATCCAGAAACTATACATATGTTAATTTTTCAAATGCATACCATCTAAATAATATTATGATAAATAATTTTAGACATCACTTTACACTGCCTTTATCAAAGTATGTGCAAACATTTTTACATATTTCATTTATAAAATAAGTGAAATTTGACTTATAAATTTAAGACATAAAACATGATGCTGAAACTCTAATAACATTGAAAAAAGATGACAAGGGAAGATGCTACTTCTCTCATTTTTCTTTTGCGTGGAGGTCTGTATTATATATGTGGTTAAATATTAATGCCCTACATGTGAATTTTCCACAGCAAGTTTCTAACACTAGATTAGACTTCACTATATTAAAAAGCTCCTAGACATCTCTACTGATCATTACTTGTTAAATACTAATGATATTAGCTCATTTGGGTAACAAATAGAGCAAACAATTAAGAAATTGTGTGATGAAAAACATACAATATATAACCAAGTCAGCTGTAAGTGATTTTTGCATTATTTATTATATCCTTCTTCACTATTAGCATGAATAATCAAGAAATGAAAATAGACAATTCAGCAAAAGACATACCCTGTTAAATGCATAATTCTAAGTTCTTTGTTTTAAATCTATCTCTATCCCTTTAAAATTGTTTACTATTATGACCGCAGCATTGTAAGGCACAGCAGCAGTCTCAATAAATAACAAAATTTCCAATATTTGCTACAGTAACTTGAAAAAGAACAAATAAATGTATCCTCTTCAATTCTTGGAGCCCCACATAGTTTCTTCATTTAACATTATAGCCGAATAAAGAGATAAATTTGAGAAGGAGCTAATCTTCTGAAAGAATGTGTACTATAATAGAGGGTTGAAGCAGGGATATCAAACTGAAATGATGATGAAATAATAAAATGGTAGAGGGTCAAAGAAAATAGTCATGAGTTCTTGGAAAGACACAATGTCCCAAGTCTCCAATGATGTAGGATGTATGATTGTATTTTAATGCTAGGAAGTGTGACTGTGGGCCTCAGACTTAGTCCCTGATCAGGGAGTAAAGAACTGGCCTGAGAAGCACATTGGTGTGAAGTTCTGGACTGTGAACAGAAGAACCCACAGGTCATTTAACGACAGCCAAAATTATCCGCAGAGACAAACAAAGGTGTAAAAGATACAGTGCAACAAATTCAAGCATAAAGACTATTGCAGACTCTTTTAGTCTCTCCGCTTTCCAATAATAAAAGAACTACAGATTCTTTATAAAACCAACAGACTGATGCATTATCTTACTCTTTTGGAGGGCTGATACTGTTTTCTCTGGCTTGCCATCATTTCATATTTTCACCGTATTTTATAAAACATTGTTTGCTGTGGTACAGGGTCACAGGATAAATCCTGATGGTATATGACTGACCTTATCAGATACAAAAGTTATATTTCTTGTTATGTAGGTCTTGCTTTATTTTGGTCTTAACCATCCAGTAGAAAAGTATAAAAATGAGGTATATGAAGTAAAGTCATATTAATGTGCTGAGCTGTGAAAGGCTCAAGTCCACAACTTCTGCGGATAACCTACTACTATTGTGGACTGCTGGAGTGTGTTGGATTGTTTTCTGAATTCACGCACCTATGATATTTAGAGGCCATTGGAGTACTCATCTCTAGCAGGCCTAAATTCAATGAATTTAGGATATCCTCTCCGTATCTTGTACTATGGATAACCACTAAAAATATAACAATGTACAATGTATTAATTATTAAAACTGTCCAATTAATCAGTTTTGAAACTGTCTCATTGCTATTTGTTTCTCAATAAAATAAAAAAGAATGTTATTATTATGTATTACACATGCATTAATAAAAAATAAAAAAATCCTAAAAACATAAAATATAGCTTGCAATGATCCATGGTTATAGTTTATTTTTTTATTTTTATTTTTTATTTTGATTGATGCAGGGTCTCACTATGCATTCAGAATCACAGTAATCTTTCTATTTCTGCCTCCCCAGTGCTGGAATAGCAGGCATGTGCACCAGCACATCCAGTTTTGGACAGCATGGCATGTGGTATTGGTGATCAAACTTAGGTCCTCCCTGCCAGGTAGGTGCTTTGAACTCCGAACTATCTCCCCAACCCTGCGATGAATCAGGTACTAAACAGAAAAACGTAGTACTAAATTTTGAGACTCATCCCTACGGTAATAGCAACCAAATTCTGAATAGCCAGAAATAATGGGTTACAAATCTGGTAATATGAATAACTGATTGGAAGGCAACACTATGTTTACAACAAATGCTGTGAAATTCATATTACTTTGTTAAGCGAAATGTTTTTTCTGTATTTAGGGCAGGGTCTACAGGGTCTACAGAGACTCACTACATAGATCAGACTCATAGTGATTCTCCTGTTTTCAGCCTCCCAAGTTCTGGGATTATAAGCATACACCACCACGCCCAGTCTCAATCACCATCTCAGCCCTGGAACGGCAAAATTTTGTATTACTTGTAATTTTTTCTGTTTTAATTATAATTTGTACTTTCTTAAACAATGTAAAATGTCTCCATTTTTTCCTCTAATTACTGTCCTCAATCTTTGTCAAATTACCCTCGCTGAACTCTCGAGAGCACATTCTGAGTATAGCAAATCCAGTACAGTTAACACACATCACTGTTTCCCCATGCCATCAATACTGTTCATTTCTCTAGCCATACAAATGGGCTTGTTCACTTTCTCATCCAAATTGTCTTCTTCCTCTTTGTCCTATAATGGGATGACAACTGTATGCCCAACCCATTCTTTCTTATATTTTCTCTGCACTCCAGCTTCTGCAGTAATGCCTAACAGGTCACTAGCATCTTGTACAGAGCAAGCACTGAAATGCTAAGCATCATTTTGGAAGCACTTACTGGTCCTTTAAGGAGGACCCTAGAGATTAATCTCTAAGTGCCCAATTCTCTGACAATGAAAATCTCCAGATCAAACGCTTCCAAACTCTCACCTCCCACCTC